CAGGGGGTGGAGTTTACGAGCGCGATCCCAGCATGCGGGGTGCAGACCAACGAAGACACGGTGTTTGGATACGTCATGAAGGACTCGGAACATTGCTTTGACTTTCAGGCCACGCCGACCGTGGGTAAATTGTCACGCGGCATCTTCACATCCGCCCTGTTGCAATGGCTTGAATGTTTTGGACAGAATTTCAGTCAAACCAGGTGATTGGTGGCTAGGGGGGGAAGGTGTTTGGGTTTTGCTGGCGCCTGGAGCCTGAAGCCTGGATAAAGAAAAGATGACGAGGGTTGACAGTGGAGTGGATCTTGAGATGCTACATAGTACTTTAGAAAAGTACACGCGGGCAACGTAAGTAGATGCAAGAGAAGCCTCGGAGGTTTTAGATCAGCGGTTGGATTTAGCGTCATGTCCAAAATCCTGCGACGCAACAGCCGCTTTTCCCTTTTGGGAGATGCTTGCGATGTTTCCGAGTGCCGAAAGCATCTGGAATCGGGAAATGACCCCTCGCAAGGTTGGCTTTTCCAATCATCTCCAGCCCATTGCCGCTTCTGAGTTTGTTGCATCGCTGGAACCATCCATCCATCCCTTCCCGTCTCCCTGTCTTCGTTTACTTACTGACTGTGTGGCTATGGAGGCGAGGGTTCCCCATTCCTTCATTTCACATGGGGCCTCACGACCGAGGAGTTTGGAACCAACCCTTCTTGGCCAAGTGAATCCAAGTCTGGATCTCTCCTTGCGGGGTGAACTAGGGCAAAGTATATAAGGTCTGTGGTCGGAACCGGACTGCCCCTGTCGATTATCATCATACCTCTTTGTACATAACATTCACTCTAAAGTTATTTATCTCTCATCTCACATTCCTCAAATCTCTCCTTTCCACTTCTCCATCTACTATCTAGGTTTCCTCCCCGCATTACTAGACTACCCGCAGTTGCGTCATGTTGGCTCCTGCGATTGTCTTTTTGGGTGCCATCTACTTAACCTTTCGCATCCTGGGCTCCCTCCACCAGGCTTACCACCATCGCAAGAAGTCCAAAGCTCTCGGCTGCCAGCCCCCTAAATCTGTCGATACCGGTATTCTCGGTATCACTGGTTTCTATCGCATTGCAAAGGCGGCCAGGGAGAAACGATGGGTTGAATACATTGCCGATCACTACCAGACGAGTGGACCGACCTTCCGTCAGCAGGCCTTGGGAGGACTCATGGTCACCAACACCGTTGAGCCAGAGAACATCAAGGCACTGTTGGCTACCCAGTTCCAAGATTTTGGCCTCGGAACCCGCCATCGCGAGTTCTACCCGTTGCTTGGAAATGGTATCTTCACCTTGGATGGGCCGGGCTGGTCTCATGCGCGTGGAATGCTGAGGCCGCAGTTCACTCGCGATCAGGTCTGATAATCCTACTAAGCTACCATCAATGAGAACTTACTGACGGATGTGAGCGACTAGGTTGCTGATCTCGACCTTATGGATGGTCACGTCACCAAGATGATGGACTTGATTCCCAAGGATGGCTCGACTTTCGACATCCAGCGCCTCTTCTTCCTCTTGACCATGGACTCGGCTACACATTTCTTGTTCGGTGAATCCGTCGGATCCATGCGCACATCCACTGAGTCGAGTCTTCTGGAGAAGTCCACTGTTGGAAACGCCCAAGGGTTCGCGGAGGCATTCAACCGGGCCCAAGAATACCTGGTCTCGAGATCCAGAGCCATGGCATTCTACTGGCTCGTTAACCCCAAGGAGTTCCGTGAAGCGAACCAGCTTGTGCACGAGGTGGTTGACCACTACGTGCGCCTGGCTCTCGAGGCAAAGCGTCACCCCGAAAAGAAAGAGTCGGGCAGGTACATCTTCGCAGAAGCCTTAGCGGAGGATACCGATGACCCGAGAGTGATCCGTGACAACATGCTCAACATCCTCCTGGCTGGTCGCGACACCACTGCCAGTCTGCTGAGCTCGGCCTTTTTCTACCTAGCACGTCATCCTAATGTCTGGACCAGACTTCGCCAGACCATCGTCGACGAGTTTGGAGACGCTAAACACCCCAACGGAAAGATCACGCATGCTAGACTGAAGGATACTCCATACCTGCGCTATTTCTTGAACGAAGGTGAGCAATAACCCCCTCCCCCGCCGCACCTCAGAATATCTCCTAACAAGACCAGTCCTCCGTCTTCTCCCGCCTGTTCCTCTAAACTTCCGTGTCGCTGCCAAAGATACTTCCTTGCCATTGGGTGGTGGGCCCGACGGGAAGGCCCCGGTCTACGTGCGCAAGGGAGAGCTTGTGGCGTACAGCGTATATGCAATGCACCGTCGCACCGACTTATACGGCCCGGATGCCCATGCTTTCCGACCCGAGCGATGGGAAGAGAACAGCAAGCGGGGTTGGGAGTACCTTCCATTCAACGGCGGGCCACGCATTTGTCTTGGACGTAAGTTGCCCTACATATATGCCACAGTCACATCACTAACAGTCTGTTCCAGAGCAATATGCGCTCACTGAAGCCAGCTACACCATGGTCAAGCTGCTACAGCGGTACAACAGAATTGAGAATGCCGACCCTGATATGGTGGAGCCGATCATCAATTCCAGTCTCACGCTGTCGCATGACCGTGGCGTCCATATTCGGTTGTTTTCTTCGTAATTTGCCAGCACTGCTGGGGTACTAACCACACCATTGATTGTTCAAGCCGCCGGATGGCTACGACTTCTTTGCATTTTGACGAGCTACACTTTTCATGCCCCGGGACATTCCCAGAAACGACTACATATACTAGCCTGGATATTTTAATATGATGAGATTTTACACTACATAGTCTGAATCGTGCTAGATACAGTAGCCCGGTGATACTGTGCCGGAGACAGCAAAGCAACGTTAATACACATGGACTATATTTATCGCATACTTGAGTATCCTAGGTCGTCTGAATATAACAGTTATATTCATATGGTACGATCAACTTACCAGTCCTCAACTCATAGTAGTCTTCTTTTCATAAATTTAAATTAGTAATGGCGACAACGCAAGAAACAATTTATTGGCTAGTACTCACATAGGTCAGTAGTACTAGCCAGAATGGAACGACGACTTCTTGTGACGGATAAAATTGTGATTGCAGCGGGATTTGAACCCGTGACTACCGAATAGAATCCTCCCCCAAAGATCCTCACCACCACCACCAACCACGACGCAAAAAATGCAAAAATGAAAGCCCAACGCGGGGCTCGAACCCGCAGCCTTGAGATTAAGAGTCTCACGCTCTACCGATTGAGCTAGCCGGGCTAGTTCGGTGAAAGCTGAGTTGTAGTTACGCATAATATTCTTGCTTTTTCCTAACAGCGTACACGCATGTTAATTCCAGCCACAGGTTTCTGTGGCTATGCAGTATGTGGCTGATCCGTATGCGTGCTGAGTCAGCCAATTTCGGCGGCGCAATTCCCTCCACCGAGATTCAACCTATCGCCATTGTTGACGTTGTCTCCAGTTCCATACCTGCTGCGTCAAGTGGACTCTTGAATTGTGGAATCCTTAGAAGTTGATCAAATACACGACTCCTAAAGAGACGAACATCACTCTTACTCATACGTGCATTCATAGTCCAGCTTGTCAATTACCTAAATTGGACTGGATACACGTGCTCGCCTATCAGCTGACGATTGCTGGAACTTCCCTTCATCTCATAAATTGCGCTGGATTTTCGCATCTGGCTTTACTTTAAATTGCTATAGCCATCCTATCCTCACTGACAGTGACAATGGCATCTGCTCCCAACCCCGGTCAAACACTCCCTAGAATGCCAGTGGTTGTGCCTGCAATGGTTCCTCCCTCGAATGGCGCTGAAGCCTCTACAGGGGCGGCTAGTAACACTGACCCCAATCCTGATGCCTGGGACTCTGAAACGCAACTTGTTTCCTCGCTCGCGAAGCTTCAGAAGATGGAAGCAATGGTGAGTATTACTCCTTCCAGTCAAGCTCAACACCAATTAACACTTCTGATAGATCCACCAACTACGGACTCTACTTCCCGAGCGCCTTCTGGAACCCCTGGCACCCATTGTCAACCCCAAGGCCGCTGCGGGGAGATCCGTTCCCAAGTCCCCGCAAATGCTGTACGAGCAGCTGGCTCAAGCAGCGCGCGCGGGTGTCTCCGAGCTGCAAGAGTTCCAGTCGATGTGGAGAAGTCCCGAGATGAAAGCAGTCTGGGATCGCGTCGACGCGCAAATTAAAGAAAACGGCGGCGTGATGCTGCAGCCCACGGGGAAGTGGGAACGAGATTACGATACCATTCTCGCGGATCTCCGTGAGGAGGAGCAGGCTCAGAATGAGCAGCAGCAGAAAGCCAATGAGGAGATGGAGCGATCGAAGATCCAGGCTACTGAGGGTGGATGGAGAGCGATTGTTGACGGCTTTGCTCAAGAAAATGTGCCTGGTGTGCGGGTCTTGGCTAGTCAGAGTGAAGCGGCCGTTACTGTTGTGCTCGTCAAGGCTGGAATAGTGTTCAGGGTCGAGGCTATTGCTGGTCAGGATGGGAATGGGGTTCCTGATTGGCGGGTCTTTACTAGGACGCCGGGGGGACAGACGCCTTCGAACGTCGAGACCGCTGTGGCGCAGTGCTTGAATGCGAGGCCGCGACAGTGGGATTTGCTTTATCTACTTGTAAGACTGGCCCTTTACTTTACGTTGCTGAATGGTACATGTGGACAAAACACTGATTTTTTTATGTTAGGACATGATATCGTCCTATTCGACTATCAAACAGACACCCTGCGCAAAATGCGCCAAGATGACCGACAGCACTGCAACCCTTCCCACCATTCGGAAGCCATCTTCTACTCCCCAAGAACAGGGGAGTCAAACCTGGGAAGCCTATCATCAAGGATGTGCCGAGTGAAAGGGTAACAAAGGAAACAAACATCACAGGAAATATGACTATCGATGGAATGTTCCATTCCAACAATTGCAAAACGCCTCAACATCTCAAATATATATCAGTCGATCCGAGACTCGTCACCCGCATCAGTGGCATATCGCCGGTATAAACCGTGCATGCTCCTCGGAACATTCAACACAAAGAAAAACAAAGGTGCATTGGCATCACACCTACTCCTCCTCATCCAACCTTGCCGGGAAAAAGCTGGCCACTTTCCCCTCAACAAGTGGCTCGAGAACCCTGTGGCCGGGACGGCGACGACTGCCATGCTCGTCCTTGGCAGCTTTCATGACCGTAACCCCCGAGGTCCCTTCCACCAACAACAGCCACCACCACGGTGGACTATCCTTGCGTCTGACCAGGACTAGGTCTTCTTCCTCATATCTAGAGGATGACGATGATGATGACGACGGTCGCTGCCGTCGTGATGCTGATGTCGAAGAGCCAAAGAATGGTATTGCCGTGTTTTCCTCTCGCTGTTTGCCTTTGTTTCTCGGCCTTCTCTTCCTGTGACTGCTGGTAGCGTTGTAGTTGGGGTTCCAGAAACTTGACATTTTGTTTGCTTTGTGACTGATCTGGTCTTGGTCCTCTGAAATAGTCGATAAGGAATCAGTGTCACCTGAGTGACTAGCAAGAGAGTTGAGTCAAGTTAAGGATCACAACAACTTGAGACTCAAAATTGAGAATCAGACGTACTTATCAATGACGCGAAAATCGACATCAAAGACGAGGAAAAGTCCATCCTATTTATGCTCAGCAGTCCATGCAGATCCATCTGAGTGCGTGAATTTCACCCATCCATTAATGAGGCTATCTCCTATATTTCTAAACAAATGGACCTGCATATATCTCGTAATCCTGTACTTTGTAAAACCTTGTTTGTGAGACATTAACTGAATTTAATTGATGCGTGTAACTGTATACCAGAATTAGGAACAATAGCGTAGTATTTACTACTGTTGGTGTTACACATCTAAATAAGTACTAACCAGCTGACGATGAACAAACGGGGAGATCCGTATCATATCTTATCTCACTACCCATTGACTCGATCAATCAATCTTTCGAATCTTTCAGTTGGGGCAATACGTACAGACTATACGCAATTACTAGTACCAGAGATACATGCGTAGATTGAGGATATTACTAAGTAGTATATAATGTACATAGAATTTAGTCTCGGATATCGGGATATTCCATCTAGTACTATATATATATATATACCTCACAGAGTCCTCCCATTCGACATTATTAACAGTCCTACTAAGTAGTTATTTGTTGAAGCTAACGAAATGATGTCATATCATCCTTACAAACTGACTTCAAGCGTCGTGTAGTACAGAGGACGGATACTATATATATTTTCTTCATTAGGGGCATTGATGAGATACTCCGGTTACGTGGTTGTGGTTTCGGGGTATTCCTTTTTGAGAACTATTTGTATTGAGTAGTTCTTTCGGATTATTCTCTTCTTCGTTTTAAGTCATCAAATTTGGGTGTCATGTTGGTTATGGTGAGTGTGGATTGTTCCACTATTTCAATAATAGCATGGATACTCGGTGCCGTGGTGGGAAGTGCATAGAGAAAGTTTAGTACCAAATTATCTTTCAGTAGGGTTGCAGTATGTATTTACTAGTTCTAGTTTACTGCTGTAGTAGGTATATATTAATCTGAGGAAGTATCCGATGCAGTCCAGATGAGTATGTATACATACATCCATGCCATAATTGCAGAGAACATTAAATATAGACAGGCCAAGTGGAGATACAATCAACATGTCATAATCACCGCATGCACACACTATTACACTGATATCCCGCTATTGCTGCGCTTCAAAGGAGTGAACAAAGGTCAATAATATAGAGGAACTTCCCAGCCATTAGTCAAATCAGAAATGGAAACTCGCAAACGCCAATCCAACCCAGCTGATAGATTGCTATCATCATAACTTAAAACGAAAATCGCTTTGCTCAATGCAACATTCTAATGCATAAAAATGTTTATTTTCGTCGTCATCCGGAGATTACACTCATGTGGAGAAGAGACCGAAGCCACCGGCGAACCAGGTGAAGGACAGGACGGTGATGGCGAACATGCCAAAGGTGAATTTCATCCCTAAGCGTTCGAGTTCGGAGAAAGCGCCGCTGCAGGTAGCGCAGACAAATCCTGTCGGAGTTAGCAGACTGATTAAGATATACAGAGGTGATCACATACCATTGAGCGGAGTGTACGGCTGCGAACTGTACATTCCGAAGATGTAGCTGCTAGCAGCGCTGAGATAACCGGCACTGGCCGTCTCAGTGATGGCCTTGCTGGCATCCCACACAATCAATGTGTACGACGCAGTCAACAGCGGGACAGTCGCGTTGGCCTGGTACTTCTTGGTGTCCCAGACCACCTCTCCGGTGGGCGACATGGTCATGTTGGACGAGATGGTGTAGGTGGCGCTGTTCAAACTGCAAGAAGCGACAACATTGACAGCCGTTGGGCTGATGGTCAAAGAGGTGTAGTTCCATTTCAGGGTCACGTAATCGCCGATCTTATAGTAGGTTGTGGCACCAAGGGTGGGAATAAGCATGGAGATACCACCGGCACCGGCAGCGGGGTTGATAGAAACACTCGTTGTGCTGTTCGAAGAAGAGCCAGAGGACTTGCCGCTAGCAGTGCCTGTTCCGGTAGCTGACTTGGTATTGGTGCCGGTGGCCGTGGCCGTGGTGTCGCTTCCTGTTGCGGCGGCGGTCTTGGTCGCTGCCTCTGTCTTCGATGCACTCTCGGTGGTAGCGGCGGCTCCAGTGGTTGCGCTCTCAGCTGCGGTAGTATCTTCGCGGGTCAGCAACACATCATACACGAATCACGATGAAAGTAGGACAAAGGTGAAGGGGTGTAAATGTCATAAGATAGGACTGACCAGCTCGTCGCAACAATTCGCCATGCGGCGGCCATGGCCAGGCGGAAGTTACCGTCCCCAGCACCAAGAGGAGGCACAGAACAAACAGACGAGACATGGAACGCATCTTGAAAAGTCCGATTGTAGTGTTGCGCAGTTGTGTTGACTGAAAGGCAGAGGGGTCCGTTGACTCCCTTGGCAAAATTCAGGGTCCGATCGACGTGGACCCTTTCCCGTATACGGCGGCAGAAGCGACAGGGGTATTTGTAACTGCGATGAACTGACGAGCAACAGATGAAGCTATACCAGGATGGCGAAGATGAACCGTCGAGCACGATAAGCGATGATCAAATCCAGCGATGAAGCGATACGGGCTGCAGAAGAGGTGTTTTTTTCAGGCCAGCGGGACTGAAACATGCAGATCGTCCGATAGATTCTCGGCAGGGTCCAACGAGGGGGGGGGGGGGGGGGGAAGAGAGATGTAAACAAAGCGAGCGACAAAAGACCGATCTGATTCCAGCGAACCTGGGGTGGCAGATAGATGAAAAGATACGACCGATCAAGCGATAGCGAAGGTCAGAAGAGACAAACGACAGACGAGCGAAGCATTGTCCGACCCGAGGGGGGAAGAAAGAAAGACGAGGGCGAGAGACTAAAAGACCAGACGAGCAGCCATTGAAGACGCGCCTTGCCCGATTGGGCCAGGGAGTGAGACACCCGGCTATTTTTGGCGGTCCGCCTGAGGCATCCACTGCATCTGACCCGGCCGGGGATCATGATTTATGCCCTGACCAGCAACTTTGTTTCACCTAGAATGTTCCCTTTGCCTCCCTCGTCGCAGGTATAAAGTTCTGGCGAAAGAATCATCCCGTGTCTGCCCTTCAATGACTATATCGGCCATCCGTCTCGTCTCAATTCCTAGGTGCAAGTTCATTCGCCATACAGTCAGTCATAATCATGGTTTGTTGTAGAAATCAGTCTTTGATGTCCCCGCAAAGCTGCGACACTAACCGGATCCCGGCAGCCACTATTGCCAATTATTGGCCACTACGATAAGCGAAGAGCGGATGAGAAGCACATCAATCTACTTTACTTTTACTGTGGGTTTGCAGCTATCACTCCTGTCAATCATAGAGAATAGAGATAATAGATAGTATAAATGCATATATTTACGTGAGATTATCTAAACCAGATATTCCTGACTATGCAACATGCCACGCTTCGCGTATAGATAGATCACCTTCCTCCCCAATCATCAAAACTCATTCTCACTCATCATTAAGTATATTAACATTAGTAAGGGTCGATCGTTTAACAGGCGTATTGTTACAGTGAGCATTCTCTTTCAGGCTGGGAGAGGCGCATATCCTCCCAGATCCTTCGGTCTCATGATTCATCAGTCACGCCACACTCGTCATAGAGCCCCTGTTAAGGCACTGTGGCGAGGTCTAGACGTCGTGTCTTTAGGAAGTGTATTCGGGCGTCAGGTCGACAGTGCTGCAGGAGGACGGAATAGTGGGCTCCTCATAGCGGTAGATGTAGAAGAGCTGGGGTGCGTTGTGGTACCAGTCGCACACTACATAGCTGCAGTTAGTTGCACGTTCTGACAGTTTGTATGGTTATAAGTTCAAAGTCACTCACCTAGCCAGCCTCCAAAGCCATCCTGTGCCGACCACTCCAGACCGGTAGAACCAATGGAGAAGTCATCATCGCCGTATCCAACATTGATCTGAACGGACTCCCATGCTGCCAAAAAAGTTAGTTTCCCGAAACTTCCATGTGGCAAGAGAAAACAAAACATGGATCAGGGGAAGGAACAGGAAGTCTAACCTGCATAGTTGTTCTGGACGCCCATCTTGAATCCCCAGGGGAAAGAAGTGCCCAGGTCGAACTGGGTGTGGGTGCCGTTCAGGAAGGCCGGGCTGGCCGTTCCGACGTCCGAGGTGAGCACGGCATCGTTAAATCCCGCACCGGTGTGGTAGGCATAGACATAGAGGTTGTTGTGGTCGTCATTGGTAGCGCCCGAGGTCTTGAGGTAGAAAGATTGGGTGGAGTTGCTGGACTGGCGGGGGTACAGCACCGGGCCAGCAGCCACAGTAGACGCCAACAGGGCAAGAGAGGCAAGGAACTTCATTGTGGATGGTGTGGGAGAGAGGTGGATGAGGAAGTTGGTAAATTAAAATAGAAAGAATATGGCTCGTGGATAGATCCTGAAATAGAACAGTGGATGTGGGAGAAAGGGAGGAGGATGGTGCGTGATAGATGAAGGCTGAAATAGAGGGGGATGGCCAGCGTCTTTATATCGGACAGCCACCACGATTCTTCCCCACAGCCGCAGTTGGGGGGGAACACGGGTGTACCGGCGCCGAAATGCCTACAGTTTACGGGAAAGTTGGAACGAGTGGTGGAGGATCCAAGGATAGTGCAGGGGCAGGACAGACTACCAACTAGACTAGGGAAAAGTTTGCGCGAATCTGAGAATAGAAACTTGGGCGAATGCCGACAGGTGGAGGGGGCGGTTGGTGGTTGGTGGTTGGAGCTTGATTTTCCCTCAAGCTGAGGAATACTTTTGAGTTGGCAGAATGAGAGGCAGGCAAAGAGGCAGGAACAACTGGAGGCAAATCCTCTGGCTCCACTGCACTTTCGGACTGGCCGCCCTGGTCGTCACAGTCCGATTGGCTGATCCCGTTCTTGGCTGAGCTGGTGGAGGGTCTTGAGCCGGACCAATCAGGGTTGGGCGGCGAATTCAACAGAACGGCTTGATTGGACAGGCATGGAATGAACGAGGATGGCGGGAGGAGACTGGAGTTATCCCCGCATACACAGTAAGTAGTACACTTCACATACTCAGTCTACAATGGTAAAGATAGAGAGATGGTAGTTGTACTATTCCCTTTACCTCCCCATACTATGTCAAGATAACAGCATAAATCCCAACAGTGCTGATCTGATATGAGACAGACTAACTAACTAATTATCTTTCTATTTTTATTCTACCCACCAACAAGACTAAATACTAATCTAATGCTACTCAAAACTTGTAAGCAGTCGATCTCAATCTATCGGCTGATCGGATTTTCACTGACCTTCTCCATGCTCGATGCCCGACCGATCCATGCCCAGTCAGATGATTGACTTTTTGTCTCAGATTTTCTTCTCCCTCGGCTCGGGTTACTACCGTTATTCATTCATCCATTCATCCATCTATTCTGTCGTCATATGCCTCGCGGATTTGATCGTCCTTTCTTTCCACAATAAGTAGACAAAGGAATTGTCGTCATTACCAAAGACAACAATAGTACTATGATGCGTAGAGGATTCAATGACAATGATCAATGCGTCCCCCCCTGAAGCCGATCACGACTTGAATAAAATTTTAACCTGCAGAAAAAAGTGGACTTTGACTTCCCGATCACACCACCACTCCGATTGGTCTTGAAACAACTCACTCACTAAGACATTCTTACTTACAGCGTCCTAGTAAGTAGTAAGTAGTAACTGTCTAGACTTTAGTACCTGCACCCTTACCAACCCTACTCCGTACCACACCGTGGCTATGCTATCCCCAAATCCAGACAAGTCATATCCATCACGTCGTGGAAGATCTACTCTGCAACTACACTGACATCATGATTTCCCCCCCCCCCACCCCGTTCCGTTCCAATCCCTCCCCTTCTCTGGTTCACACTATTGTCTTTCATGACACAAAATCCACACCCACACCCAACCCACAAAGCAAACACTGGGGCTTGAAAGAAAAGAACGATCTCTATCCATGGAACCAGTTCGTTTATCACGTTCTCTTCCCGCGGGGTAATAGTATCCGCATAAGTTCCTTCTTTGGTCGTGGGAAACGTCGTTTAGACTACTTACTGTAGCTGAAAAAGAACTCAATAATCAGTCTGTCTACAATGGTTGTACGTCATAGAGATTATGGTTACGTCGTTTGCTTGGGGGTTTTGTGATGATCAGTGCATTGTGTGGTCCTTCGTACAACAATGATGATTACTATAGATAGTAGAATTACACCAAGGGGCATTGGATCGACATCATCATCCCACATCCCGAGTTACAGTGTTTCAACTTTCAGCCCTTCGGGACATACTACATGGGTAATCCCTGATACATAACTGTATAGTAGCATAGTATATACGTAGGTATCGACCCTTCCAAAACGCATTTAATCTATTCATCCATGGTTGCCCAACGCCTAATATGATCTCATATCTAGTATACAATGTGCTATTAGGTGGCAATCATCGTCGCTTGGCATATTCTGGTTTCAAGGCCCATTTCCCGCGCCCGTTTCGTCCCCCCTTGTCCAGCACCGCTATTGTCTTCAGCATCTCCTTGAACTCGGCCGACCGCTGCGGCGTGGTGCAGTAGCGGTTGAAATGATCGATCAACATTTGGGTATACACTGACCCGCCCTGGGCTGTGATGAAGTCTCGAATCATCGTGATGAAATCGATTCCGCTGGGGGTGCGTGATGGCGCGGGACTGTTGCTGCTGCTGCGCGGGGACGGTGTGCGCGCGGAGAGATTCGCCAGGATGCTGGCTGAGGATGGTCCGGCTACTGCTCGTCTGGCGGCGCTACTGCTCCCTCCAAATGCAGGTCGACTGGGTAACTGTTCTTCGGGCTTCCCAGCCAGGCCGAACTGGCCCGTCCAGGTTGGAGTGCCAATGGGGACAGATCGTGCTGCCTCGCCCGCTCGCCGCAGCTCCTCTGCTGCTTCTGCTGCCACCCGCTTCGCTTCGGCCTCGATTATCTTGGGGTCCGCTCGTACCACGCGCTTGCCGTTCACGATTTGGTCGTGCTCCAGCGCTGAATGAACCCCGGATCGGGCAAAGATGCCCTCCATGATGCGGGACTCGGAGTTGGCGCCGGAAGTGCCCTTCTCCTGCTCGCTCTGTTGCTCTGGTTCTCCCTGGAAATTTTCGACTGCGGCCACGCCAACGACCTTGCTGATGTCTTTCTTCTCTTCCTGCGCGCCATGTGAAGCAGCAGATAATTTGTTTGCTGCGTTGGACTTGCGCGAGGCGCCATCACTGTCTTCATATGTGACGTCCGCATCTTTGAAGATCTTACTGGTTTCGGTGGGACCTTGCCCTTCGTCTCCCAGGGAGAAGAGATCATGGAGATCGCTCAGCTGAAAAGTCTGGCGTTGCTTGGGATCTCGGAGAATTTTATTCGTAAGAAATTGCTTGAAGATCTGGCGATGATAGATCTTCTCTTCTATAGTGCCCGCTGTCATAAGTCGGTAGACGGTGACGTCGCGCTTTTGTCCTAGTCTCCAGGCCCGCTCCCGCGCCTGCACATCGGTTGAGGGGTTCCAATCGGGGTCGTATATGATAACCCGATCAGCACCCGTCAAATTCACACCCAGCCCACCAACCTTTGTGGTAAGTAGAAAAACATGTAGGCTTGGGTCATTGTTGAACTCGTCCACCATGGCTTGCCGGTGCTGGATGGGTGTAGTGCCATCCATTCGACGGTAGTTAAATCCGGACAGTGAGTTCACAAACTTCTCCAGGATATCGAGCATGATCCGATGCTGCGTGAACAGCAAAGTCTTGTGCCCGGTATCCTTCCATAGCTCCAGCAGCGACTTGACGACCTGCATTTTGCCGGACTTTGATCCACCACCATAGCCTGCCGTCGAAGACATCAGCTTGTGGTTTTGTAGATCGGGATGGTTGCAGATCTTTCGTAAAATATCGACACCGAATAAAACTTGCCGACGCCCGTTGAGGATGGATTTCATCTCCTCGGAACCCAGGAACGCCTCATATGCTTGTCGCTGAGGCTTTGTCAACTTGCAGAACAGCACTTGCTCACTCTTCTTGGGCAGATCCGCCGCAACATCAATCTTGAACCGCTGCAAAAGGTATGGACTAATGGCATCCTTGAGGGTCTCGGCACATTTGGCAGCCGTCTGGACTTGCAGATTGGAGGCATTCGCGTACCCACCCTGACGGATGGGGAACTCGAATTGATTCCGGAAGTTCACCAGAGTCCCCAGACGCATTGGAAAGACAAAATCGAACAAAGACCAGAGCTCTGTAAGATTGTTCTGCATCGGGGTACCCGATAGGATAATGCGATGGGCTGTTCGAAGTTCCTTGCAGTGAATAGTAATGGAAGTGTTCGGATTCCGAATCTTGTGCCCTTCATCCAGAACAGCGCAGCCCCATTCAATCGGGATCACGAGAGACGCATAGGTCTGTAGGCCCGAGTAAGTAGTGACCAGTACATGCCCTTCTTCCCTTACACGCTTGACGACCTTCCTCGCTGCCTTCGAGCCACTGGGCATGCCACGGGAACTCGAGCCGTTCCACGACTGAGACAGAAGAGCATCTTCTCTACTGCTCTCATTCCGGATGTTGACCATTCCACTACCGGACGTGTGCAGGATGGATACACGAAAAGGAGGCCACCAACGGTGGAACTCATTCACCCACTGCTTCATGACCGTGGCGGGACATACGACAATGACCGGCTTCGTCAACTTTTTGCTGTAATGGAGACCAGCAAGGAAAGATATGACTTGGATAGTCTTGCCAAGACCCATCTCATCGCCGATGATGCCACCTACTTGCTGTTGTTGTAACTCCCATAACCACTGTACTCCGGTCTTCTGATAGTCAAACAAAAGGGGATGTATATCACCGGGTATTCGGTAGCCATTGTCATAAGGCATATCTGCAACTGTCGGATGAGGCATGAACCATTCTTCCTGTTCATCTTGATCTATCACATCCACAGTGTCTCCAGCAGCAACTTCTTCGGGTCTATGGCTTGCAGCACGAGCTTCAAGCGCTCTTTTCCTAGCAGCAGCCCTTCGACTGACCCAATATTGAAGCCTAGCTTGATAGAGCTGTTCATTTCCATCATCCATCCCGCTAAAATCTTCAACATCACCTGAAGTCTTTGGAGCCTTTACCGGCTTTGCCGTACGTTTTGGCCTCTCTTCAGGTAGGAATTCTTCTTCATCTTCCGATACAGACGACTGCCTTTCAGATTCAACATAGCTAGCAGATTCATCCTGATCCTCAAAATTATCTTCGAAGGATACCTTGGTGTCTTGTTCAAGAGCTTCTTGTTCGTCATCATGAGACTCGCGGTCTATCTTTCGGCGCTTACTTGCTCGAGAGGTAGGCGCTTCATCCGCTATGCTGGATTCGGGAGTCTCGTCGAACCCGAACCCAGGTCGTACGAGATTACGATGTGAAACAGCTGACCGGTTATTCACCTGCTCCAATGCTTCCCGTTCATCGCGTTCGTCCTCTGCATCGATCAAGGCATCCTGAAGACTGGCAAGAGGACCATGGTTTGGCCCCGAGCTCATGTTGGAAAATGGCGTAATCTTTCCCGTTCGAATGAGATAGTCCCGGCGCGACTCATTAGGCATGCGGCCAGTCCCGGCGGTCTGAGAACCAGCTTCTTGTCCTTGATGCCTTTCGTCCATTCTTTGCTGGATTTCGGTAAGGTCAGTTGCCAGTGTCGCATTGCGGCTTTCCAGCTTCTCAATCTCATTTCTGATACGGACTCTCGCAGATGTGCCAACTGGCTGCGACAAACGTTGATGCAATTTCAAGATTTGGCTCTCGAGCTTCCTGGAATCATTCAGTGTAAGCTTCACGCATACATCTCAGCATTATCACAACCATACTGTTTTTCTAGTGTGGTTTTCTCTAATCTCTTGCTATCCCGTTCATCAGCCTGCTCCATGAGCAACTTGTCGGCCTACCATAGTCGTCAGCATTCTCGGCTCATTTAGAAATTGACCAGTAGAATGTACCTGACGAGAAATGTCCCTTTCGAGATCATCCTGATCACGAACATCGGCCTGCAGTTCACGTAATCGACTTGCTTCATCGGCGTTTGCCGAATGCCCTTGGTTAAGAGGAGTTTCAGATTTAGGTGGACCCGATGCTGCTGTCGCTTGTTGTTCCGGCTGTTCTTCCTTTTTAATTTCTTCATCCGAGCCATTTTTGGACGCAGCGACATCCACATCGTTCACATTTGCGTCATCCATGATCCTGTGTGAATTTCTAGATGAACAGCGCAATTATCAAGTCTGATAAATTTCACGATCGTCTCTTTATTTTCCACTAAATTAATATGTGGCCGTAGTTTATGGTCGTTCTTAAGGAGAAAGTAAGAGTTATGTGTGATATTATAGTGGTCATGAAAAAGATGATACCAGGGTCACTGCAGCAAGTGGCGTCACCGATGTGTAGTTAGAAGTAAGCCTGGCAGGTTTTGATTTAACCAATACCAATTCTTGAGAGCCAGTCTATAGCGCAAAAAGCTATTTAATACGCACAGGCTCTGGAGGTGCCAGCCCGACTGCGAGAAAGTAAGAGTAAAGAGATTGAATCTCCGAAGGCTGGATGGGACTGGCGATGGTCCGCGCCAGACCATGTCTACAAGGACCGCGACGATAACCATAGAGCCGGCAGAAAGATTTCACCGACGGCAGCCTGGGACTCACCGCCCTGGTGCCTAGCCCATGGGCGGTTAGTCATCCACCACGTAGCCTCCCACGTCACCGGGACTGGCTGGGGCCCGTGTGTTGCCTCAGTCCACCTCACACACCTCACTCAGATGATGATGTTAGTGTCACCACCTTACTGAAATTCCCTTGAGCTTCGGGTATGTCCTCCGGTGCCAATCTTTCATTATGAGGAGGAGTGGAATATACCGCCTAGATTTGGTTCCGTATGTTGTTGGGCCTGGAACAAGTGCAAATCAAATTGTTATGAGGGTTGGCAACCGCTTCTGCAAACGGCCATGACGCAGAGGGAACCGTAGTACAGAACTCGAGACAATTACAATCACCAGTCATGGATGGTATTAGCAACCGTCTCTGGTCCAGGTCATCCTTTCCCCCCAAATTAGCAGCAGGAAAAGGCATTGTTGTATTAGGTCTGCTCGTATAGCGAGCTATACCAAAACAGTGCCGTTGGACTTGAATGCCCAAGGGGGCAGCGGATATTTCCGAATGAAGGCAGATCGTCGTCCAAGAGGTTGGTCGCGAGGCAGGCAAAAAGACTCAGACCTCAGACGGACATCAAATAGTCTAGTCGCCATGATTATTTAATTGCCTAGTTACACCTTGATGTAGGCCAAAATTAATGTTGGTTCTAACCCTGGACGGTGGCTAGATGGGAATGCTAGCTAGTATTTAACTGCATTGGTCTTTCCATTCTCTGGCTTGTTGTGTGTCTTGTCTGTGTTCCTCCCTTTCATTTGCCTTTTGGTAAACCGGGGTGGCCTCGATTTGCTGGCAGTCGATTCATCATCTATCGACAAGATCCCTACCAATCTGCCTGCACGCACACACACACACCTGCTCCTTCACACCCACACGCACACTTTCTTTGCAGAGAGGGGAGTCGTGGAGATGAAAGAGGGGTCCTCCCCCAAAGTCGTGAGATCAGCCATTAGAACAACAGTCAGTATCCAGCGAAGAGAAAAAAGAGAGAGTAGTATCAGGGTTGGTCCGTGGGTGGCTCTTTCCCGGCACCATTCCATTTGCAAAACAAACGCCCCAACCCAACGGCAGCCTGAGGCCCGCCGTCGGATCTCGCTGCTGCTCAGTGCTCACTCACAGTCAGTCAGAGTCAGAGGGTATCTCCACCTCCACGAACTGAAATCAACTTACCCTCTCTTCCCTCTCTTCTTTCCCTTTCCCCCCTCCGCACTAGTTTCACTCAGTGCCCATCGTCTGGACTTGCTTCCAGATTTCCCCCCCTTACCCATATCTACTCCTCGACTGTATAACTTGCTGTCTGGATTCCCATCCTTCTCTTGGGGGTTCCAACAGTTAGTTGGTTCAGTCGCCGTCCTTCCCTCCCCCCCAAACCTAACCGACCAAACCCCCTTCGCGTGTCAGCTGCCGCATCGATATTGGCTGCTGCGTCGCACCCGTCATTGTGGATTGCGACCGCCCACTCCGTCCGTCTACTGGCCGCCTCCCCTCTCGCCCCTTCTGAACCCTCATCATCAGAACAGCCTGCCGTTCAAATAATGAGGTTCGACGCAATTCGAATCTAGCTTCAATTCCTCCGTGTCGTCTCCCCTCCGATTTTCGATTTGCACCACCACTTCCCGGTGTCCCGCGTCGTCTCCGCCTGATTGCGCTACGTGCGTCTGCCGTCCCCGCTGCTACTATCTAACCCCCGATCGTGGTGCATGTGCGCTGTCGACACTGATAAATGATCATCATATGTCCGATCTGATCTGATCTCCCACTTGACCTTCACGAGACGCCGCTATACGGGAGGAGGAAGCCATGGATTCCCAGTGGCAGGCATACCAGGATCCCTTAATGGGGCATCCCGCGCAGTTCAACAACGGGTTGACGTCTAATCCACAACAGCTAGCCTCAAAATACGGCGCCCAGCCACAGCACTCGCAGCCGCCGGTGGGCTACACCTACGAACCCTTCCAGTCTCCTGGCACCACCGCCAAACCATCTTCTATCGGTGCGAATTCCAGAACTGTCTCGATGGCTTCGTCTCCCGCTGCGACGCCACGTAGTCGGGATTATGTCACCGATGCGGACACCACGATGGAGGATGCGGATCCGTACAACCGGGCCAAGTACTCGACAAGACCGACCCATCATAGCCGACCGTCATCACAATATTTCCCAAGCGAAGAGTCGTCAGCTGCTCGCAGGTACTCTCCTATGAATGTCTTGTCTCCTTCCATGTCGTTCAATGCGAGTCCTGGGAAATCGCATAACTCGTATGCTTTCCCGCCCGGGCCGAATCAACCACGGCGGTCGCCGACAAGAGGTTCAACCTACGCCTCGCCTCCTCAGGCGTTCCAATCACCACCCTGTAAGTATCAACGCTTGCGAGGTATTCGGATTCTGAAAGTATAGCCGCTAACACCTCTCCCAACAGCTGCGTCACGTCCCCCTAGACTCCCCCCGCTTCAGCCTACGGACATGAGCCCTGATCAGTACTATCCGCCCTCGGCAGGCTCGCAGCTCAACGCCCCATTTGCACAAGATGGAAGGTCGCCGCGCTCTGCGTCTATATCCGGTGGAAGCCAGCAGCCAGGCCGAGGCCCTGTTCCGAAGTTCCAGAAGATCAAGTCAATCCAGGAACTTCAACCACGCACGAATGCGCAGCCACCTTACAGACGCGCCAATCCTGATGGTGGTTTCATCAGCGTAAGCACACGGACATCAAAGGCTGTGAGATAGGCATCTGCTAACATGTGTACAGCCTCTGCAAGCGTTAACAACACATCTCCCCGCCACTTATCGAATATGCAACCCGGGCTTCAACTATGAATCGTCCCGGAACCCGAGGCGTGTCCTCACCAAGCCCAGTAAAGGCGTGAAAAACGATGGTTACGATAATGAGGATAGCGACTATATTCTCTATGTTAACGACATATTGGGCAGTGAGGAAGCCGGCCACAAGTACGTCTAGCCCTAAAGCGTGCTCCACGAAGCTCCTCTGGGATTCAAGCTAATCGCGTTTAGGAACCGTTACCTTATCCTTGATGTGCTGGGCCAAGGAACCTTCGGTCAAGTCGTCAAGTGCCAAAATCTAAAAACCGGGGAGGTTGTAGCTGTCAAGGTCATCAAGAACAAGACTGCATATTTCAACCAAAGTATGATGGAGGTGTCGGTCTTGGACTTGGTAAGCGTCCCTACCTCCACGGGTCGAATTTATCGCACCATTTCTCACAACCATCGCAGCTCAACAGCAGATACGATAAAAATGACGACCACCACTTGCTCCGCTTGAAGGACACTTTCATCCACCGACAGCACTTGTGCTTGGTGTTCGAACTGTTGAGCGTCAATCTTTACGAACTGATCAAGCAGAACCAGTTCCGGGGCTTGAGCACGACGTTAGTACGCGTATTTGCTCAGCAACTTCTGAATGCATTGAGCCTTTTGAATAAGGCACACTTGATTCACTGCGATCTGAAGCCGGAAAATATTCTACTGAAGAAGTCAGCAACCCTTCCAAACACCTTCGAGTTTGCTATGCTAACTTTACTCCATTGCAGCCTCGAGAGCCCCATCATCAAAGTCATCGACTTTGGGTCAGCTTGTGACGAGCGACAGACAGTCTATACCTATATCCAGTCTAGGTTTTACCGCTCACCAGAGGTCCTTCTTGGCTTACCGTACGCGCATCCCTGAGGCCCGCCCTCGACATGTCATTCCTTTCTCTATGCACGGCTAAACTAACATACCTTTAGCTACTCATCCGCGATAGACATGTGGTCTCTCGGTTGCATTGTCGTCGAGTTATTCCTAGGGTTGCCGCTCTTCCCTGGTTCTTCGGAATACAACCAAGTCTGCCGCATTGTGGAAATGCTCGGCCTGCCGCCAACATGGATGCTGGAGATGGGCAAGCAGTCAGGGGAATTCTTCGAGAAGACTCAGGACGAGTTCGGTCGCAAGACATATCGCCTTAAGAGCCTAGAGCAATATTCTCGAGAGCATAACACGAAAGAGCAGCCGAGCAAGAAGTACTTCCAAGCGTCGACCCTGGAAGAAATCATCCGCAGCTACCCGATGCCGAGGAAGAATATGAAACAAGCAGAGATTGAACGAGGTCGGTTATATTCGATCTCCCATACATACATCTGCTAACCATTATCATTAGAATTGAACAACCGGGTAGCCTTCATTGACTTCGTTCGTGGCTTATTGGCCATCAATCCCCTTGAACGTTGGTCGCCCCAACAGGCCAAACTGCATCCTTTCATCACACAACAGAAGTTCACGGGGCCTTTCATGCCCCCGATGAACCTGAAGTACTCATCGCTGAACAAGACTGTTGCTCCCGGAATTCAACAGCAGCAGCAGGCAGAAGCTGCCAGCAAGCAGAGGGCCGCACAAGCAGCCCACGCCCAGTCAGCCGCACAGAATGCCTACGCTATGCAGTTGAATCAGTTCCACACACCCACGCATGCCCAGCCGCCGCCAATGTACAATGGAATGTTCACTGGTCACCAGCAAGGTGCCCCTCCGCCCTACCCTACTCAGCCACCGGCCTACGGTCATCAGATGAACCTCATACCCGGCCAAGTGCCCCAAGCACAGTACGCGCCATCCCAGAGCCTCTACGCGCAAGCAACGACAAGGGCTGGGCGGCAACGGGCATCTACCATGGACCCTCAGGGAGGAGGTATCCCGCCAACAATCCAGCGCGTGGCCAGCCACCTCGACCCCAATGCACCTATTCGGTTACAGCCTAGTCCAGCATATTATCCACCACCTCCAGATGGGTATGTCGACCCTAATTCCGCTGGTCAGAGGCGACGAGGAAGCCGTACAGGCGGTACAAGAAACCGCGACTTCATTCGAACCCTTGAGGATGGGGTGTTGGGAGGCGAAGGCTTCATGGGCCAAAACCAGTGGCATTGAGAGCATGCATACCCAGGAACAGGCCGATGGCACATGGATGTTCATCGGCCTGACGGACAAGCCATTTTCTCTTCTGTATAGGCAAGTGTGTGCTCCTTGAAGCGTCCATCGCCAGAAGCTAGACGCAGAGCTACATTCAAATGGCCTCCTTCCTGGTATTTGAGAGCCTGCTTGGTTTTAAGCTCATTACCATCAGCTTTCCTCGAGACCTGAATAGGTCCTTGGTACGTGTGAGTTCTGTCTCCATGAAAGTCCTGTGACAGCCGGTTTGCCTTGTTGTTAGGCATGGGACAGATGAGAGTCCCCTACGTGACAGGCAGCATAAGTTCCCAAGGGATATTTTTATCTTCAGACCTCCGCCGTGGCGGCGAATACGGATGGCCTGCTCGTCAAGCTACAGCAGCACGCTACGGTGGACAGGTGCTCCTTTCCCTATAGTTGAGCGCTGCAGTGCTTCCCGATGCTCATCCTCATTTATTCCTTTTCCCCTGTCAATTCTCCTAGGTTCCTGTATGTGGCTGTTTTCGGCATAGCCAGGAGTACTCGGAAAGAGGTGATTTATGTTGATTCTTGAATTTCCATTCTCTTCTACCCAAATATTCGCACGGAGATCCCACCTGTTATGTGCTATGCAAGACATGTCCTTTTTGTTAGTTCCGTCCCTTTTTGCACGATTCAAAGAGCAACATGACTGTAACTTGGATAGTAAAATATGAGATATGAGGCCCGAGTTTAGATGGGCTGGAAAAGCTAGGCTGCTTGCGCTTTTTCTCTTCCCCACGGGGGGGTGTGGTGGGTGTGGTGTGGTGGTAGTAGTAGATTGAATGCGACAAATCGAAGACGGGAAGCGTGGTGGAACTCCAATAAGCCGGGAGAACGCTATAGTTTCGTCTGGTCTCTGCGCCCGAATCTCCGCAATGTATGTAGGCCGTGGATCTTGATCTGACAGGGTCCCATTAGTGAAAGTAAATAAAACTAAATCCATTGAGATCTGGAGTTGAGAGGGGAAAAAGAACAAAGGCATCCGCGTCCCGGAGACTGGCCGCCTGCCTGTTGTGGTTAGGCGCCGCCTCGCTTAAATTTCGTGTGTGACTCGCGCCGCCCAACCTCTGCGGCTCGGAACCCTCACAACGGATTTTCCTGCCAGGCAAAAGAACCAGCCCGATCCGCCTTACCAACCTGCGTGTTATCCCCCCGGCGACGACTGAGACCGCCGTTCCTCGATTTCCGCGACTTTCCCGATCTCCAGCGTTTGAATAATATCCGCAAACATGTCGCGTTTCTTCTACGGTGGCGGTAGCGACAGCGAGTCCAGCTCCTCTGACGAGGAGGAGCTCTACAGTGATCGCGAGGAGGAGGAGCAGTCCGAGGAGGAGTCCAGCGAGGAAGAGTCTGAGGAGGAGGAGTCCTCGTCCGATGACGAGGATGCCGGCAAGACCGGTGCGAACCGTTTCATGAAGAATGTCTCCGAAAGCGAAGAGAGTGAAGATGAGGAACGAGTAACTATCGTCAAGAGTGCCAAGGACAAGCGGTTGGAGGAACTCGAAAACACCGTCAAGTTGATCGAAAATGCCGAGAAGATCAGTGATTGGGCGGTCATCTCGACAGGTGCGTTTGGCCCTGATATCAGAGGATGGAATTACGGGATCGGCAGCGGAGGGAAGGATGGGTTTTTGATACTAACATCCGTTTTCTAGAGTTCGACAAGCTGAACCGTCAAATCGTCAAGATTGCCCAGTCTGGCCCCACCCCCAAGATCTACGTCAAGACTGTTGCGGACCTGGAGGATTTCGTCAACGAGACCATCTCGAAGCAGAAGTCGAGCAACAAGAAGATGAATGCCAGCAACGCCAAGGGATTCAACGCCGTTAAGCAGCGTATCAAGAAGAACAACAAGGACTACGCCGTTCAGATCGACAAGTACAGGCAGAACAAGGATGGCTTCATGGAAGCCAAGGAGGAAGTGGCCCGCCCCGTCGCCGCCGCCCCTCGCCTGACCAAGATCGAGCGTATCGAAGCCCCTGTTCTTTCCACCGCCGGTGATGACGATGGTTTCGCAACCGTCGGCCGTGGCGGCAAGACCCTCCAGTACACCCCCGAGAGCATCCTGAAGCACCTCCGTGTTATCGTCGAATCCCGCGGAAAGAAGAACACCGACCGTCTGGAGCAGATCCGCACGATGGAGAAGCTGTTGGAGGTTGCCCAGACCCCTTACCAGCGTATCCGCATCTACTTGACCATGATCTCCACCCGCTTCGATCTCACCTCTTCCTCCACCAGCAACTACATGGCCGTCGATCAGTGGAAGTTCGCCGAGCAGGAGTTCGCTACCCTTCTGTCCGTTCTCGAGAACAACCGCACCTATGTCGTGACCGAGGGTGCTGAGGAGTGGGAGGATGATGAGAAGCAGCCCACCCCCGCCCCCGGCGAGGTCCTTCACATCCCCGGCAGCATCGTCTCGTATGTCGAGAGACTGGATGATGAGCTCACCCGTTCCCTGCAGCACATCGACCCCCACACTGCCGAGTACATCGACCGTCTGGGTGACGAGAAGCAGCTGTACGCCAACCTTGTCCGCACCCAGGCCTACGTCGAGGGTCTTACTCAGTCCGAGAAGAGCGACCCCCGCCAGGACAGCCTTAACCGCGTGGTCATGAGGAGATTGGAGCACATCTACTTCAAGCCTTCCCAGGTCGTCACGATCCTGGAGGAGGGTACCTGGAAGGTCCTTCCCTCCGAGCTGGACACCAACATCACTCCTCGTGGCAACACGGGCGATGTGACCAACCTTGTGCAGACCCTTTGCAGCTACCTGTTCAAGCACAGCGACGGTATCATCCGTGCTCGTGCCATGCTGTGCCAGATCTACTTCCTTGCTCTGCACGACCAGTACTACCGCTCTCGTGACCTGATGCTCATGTCCCATCTTACCGAGAACATTGCCAACTTCGACGTTTCCACCCAAATCCTCTTCAACCGCACCCTTGTTCAGATCGGTCTGTGTGCCTTCCGTGCTGGCCTGATCTACGAGGCCCAGAACACCCTCTCCGAGGTCTGCGGCAGTGGACGTCAGAAAGAGCTGTTGGCTCAGGGTATCATCCTCCAGCGCTACTCCACCGTCTCGCCTGAACAGGAGCGTCTGGAGCGTCAGCGTCAGCTGCCCTTCCACATGCACATCAACCTGGAGCTCCTCGAGTGCATCTACCTCACGTCGAGCATGTTCCTGGAGGTTCCTCTGATGGCTCAGACTTCTTCCTCCCCCGAGATGAAGCGTCGTGTCATCTCCAAGACCTTCCGTCGTATGCTGGACTACAACGAGCGCCAGGTCTTCACTGGTCCCGCTGAGAACACCCGTGACGGTGTCATCATGAGTGCCAAGTTCCTCGCCGCCGGTGACTGGAAGAAGGCCGCTGAGATGCTCAACTCGATCAAGATCTGGGATCTGATGCCCCAGCCCGACAAGGTCAAGGAGATGCTGTCCCAGCAGATCCAGGAGGAGGGTCTCCGCACCTACCTCTTCACCTACGCCCCCTTCTACGACAGCCTCTCCATCTCCACCCTGTCCACCATGTTCGAGCTCCCCGAGAAGAAGATCGCCGCTATCATCAGCCGTATGATCTCTCACGAGGAACTGGCCGCTGCTCTCGATCAGGTCAACGACGCCATTGTCTTCCGCAAGGGTGTCGAGCTGTCCCGTCTCCAGTCCCAGATCGTTACCCTCGCCGACAAGTCGATGAACCTTCTGGAGTCCAACGAGAAGACTCTCGAGCAGCGTACGCAAGGTATGGCCAACGCCTTCCAGCGCGATCAGGGCGCCGGCGCCCGTGGTGGCCGTGGTCCTCGAGGTGGTGGCCAAGCCCGTGGTGGTCCCAGATTCCCTGGTGGCCAACAAGGTCGTCGGCCCGGAGGACAGCAGTTTGGCGGTGGTGCATTGGGCGGAGCGATCAAGGCATAAAAATGATTTCTAATGGCATTGATTTCTTTTTTCATGGTTCTAATGCTCCTTTTTCTTGGAATTTAAACTGCGTATGATTCCATGTGTGCTCTTACCCATCATGGTTCCTTTTTTTCTTCAACTTTTTTTCCCGTTGGGACACTCTAGCCCTTTTTTCACTTAGAGTTCTCCTACTGTCATGCATACCGTATTTTTACTCTCCGCAGATGAATATCACGTTTGGAATGAACGATGGACATACAGAGCCTGAAAAGTCTAGATTGTGTATCAAAGGTTGAAAATCAATGCACGCTAACGCTTTAATCAAATGTACAGGTCGTAGATGCTCTGAAATCAAGCATTCCTCGGTAGATCAAAGATAAGCTAGGGTGGTCGCTTTAGCACCCTCTTAATAGTCCACCAGTCAGGATCCTCAACAGACTTGGGTATGATATATTTGACATGACGGGGAGGAATCCATAGCAGTCTCGGAGTAAAGCCACTTCATCTTGGAACTCTGCATGCCCCTTCCATTCTTAGGATGTCCCCAGACAAAAACAATGATTAGTATATATCTCCTTGCATCCAGTACCCGCTGGACACTTGCGGCAGCCCCAACGCCCAAGATTGTCCTTGAATATATCATGATATCAAACAGCAGTAGCCTTCGGCAAAGCATGCTCACCCACTGTCATCTAGCAGGTTTTGAGGTGACCAATACTCATTTTCCTCCGCTTGAGCATCCAGCCAGACAAGGCCATCCGCCAGTAGATCATCAATGACAGTCTGTGCTCGAGCCTTCTCCCAATTCAGATTGGCCTGGAGCATAGAGATGCTCACGTAGCCAAGAACCTGAATAGCCTCGAGGACTGTAGCCTGATCTGTGTTTAGCTCTTTGGGAATCGATCGAATATATTGCTTGCTGCCGACATGTACAATCGAGAATCCAGAGCCTAGGGGTTCCAGACTCTTGACAGCTCGGAGAACATCGTCACTGCATATCGCATATCAGTTACTGTGTCACTCATTATGGGTAGAGCAAAGCCTGAGTGAGTACGTACTCTGTAACCTCCAGTCCACTACCAATAGCCTTCCCCTTGCCTACTCGTTTCCGACACTCCTCAACACCAATTAACCCGCCGTTCTCGCTTCGCGTAGCGCGACAAAGTTCCACCACTCTGACAGCGACCTCAAAGTAGAAGTCGTTCATATCTCCACCCATGATCTGCGTCCAAAAGCTGCCAATCTCCCCTAGCCCTTTGCGCGCATTCTTTCCTTTGACATTGCTGGCTGCAAGGGGATCAACTCCAATAGCATTGCACATGCGGGCAAACTCCGCTCTAAACGTCGGGTTCGACTTGATCGTGGAGCTGTGTTCCAGCGCGAAGGTGTGGAGCAATGACTGGAATACGGACAGTTGCGTCTGTAGAGAGGAGAGATGCGAGGAGCGTAGATTGGCGCCATGATTCGCAAATGACTGGCTGGCTTGAGTGCGATTGGCGAAGGCGCCAAGTCCAACTCCTCGACGAGTAGCCATAGCGATCAGGTGTCTGCTCTTGAGGAGGGTTCAATTATCGGAGCGCGTGGGGTAACCACGAGAGCGCTAGATAGATGCGGTCATACTGCCACTGGCTCTTATCAGTAAGAGTCACCTGACCAGCGGATACCCTGATAGCGATAAGGGCTTGAAGAATCCCAAAAGGAACAAATGGGCGGGCCAGGGTGACTAGCCGTATGCGGCTTAGCGGGGGTATCCACCCACACAACCCATTTTTCTCGATTCGCAGCGGCTTTTTTCTTCCTTTTGATCTTCTTCCAGTACGACAGCCTTCGCCAATCGCCCAACTCGCGAACTCTACGGACCGTCACAATGGCCTCCACTGCTACGTGAGACTCCCTTTGAGATTCCCCTGCGGCTGATCGCTCGAGGTGCTTGTGAGGGTTACAGATATAGTCGTCCTTTCTCGCTGGAGATGCTGCGACCTGAAAACGGTTGCTGAGCACCAGCTCGATTTTTCCCGCGACCGAGCCTCGCCCCTGAATCGCCTAAGACTTTGTTAGGAATATGAGGATTGGGTGTCGGCACGGTCTGGGGTATTGAGGTTGAAGGCACTGTGAACCTTCTCCTTGAAAACAATTGTTGTGAGCTATCGTCTTGTACCATTGCGCCGTGATAGGGTATGGTATGGGCGAAAAGCGTCAACACCACTTCCCGAGCGTTATGCTTGGGGTTTTGTCGGATGAGGATTATCATACTTGGTTGAAGTCGCCGCCGGCTTGCGAAAGTTGCTGCTGAAAATGCGTGACTAGTAGTGAGCTGGACCGCGCGGGCTCGACAAGTGAAGAAGAAAATTTTTTTTCTTCTACCTCACCGATCAAATGGATGTCGTCGAGTGCTTTTTTATCCTATGCCTTCAGTATGAGAATGTGGCACTATAGCTGCAATTCTTACACTCGGCGAAAGTCTGTGTAATCACTGCGGACAGACTGTACTGACCTTAACAGCACTGTCCCCACCAAGGAGCAGGTTCTCGTCCCCGAGACCCTCCTGAAGAAGCGCAAGAGCCAGGAGCAGGCTCGCGCTGTCGCCCGTGAGGAGGCCGAGAAGAAGAAGGCCGTAAGTTCATACCATTTTTTTTCTATTGCCTTTCCCTCTTCCTTCTATAGTGATGACAACAACCACTACGCGACTAGACTACGGTCGATGCTGTCGCTTCGTTAACCATCTTTCGGGGCTGAAAAAGAAGCTTCAAATGATTTTCATTTCACGAGTCATTTGTCAAGACCATCTGCTAACAGATGAATCCAGGCCAACAAGGAGAAGCGCGCCGTCATCTTCAAGCGTGCCGAGTCCTACGTCAAGGAGTACCGCGATGCTGAGCGCGAGAAGATCCGCCTTGCCCGCGTTGCTCGCAAGGAGGGTAACTTCTACGTTGCTGACGAGCCCAAGCTTGTCTTCGTTATCCGTATCAAGGGGTAAGTTGATTCCAGCATGCTATCTCATCATCACACGATATTAACAGCTATATAGTATCAACAAGATCCCTCCCCAGCCCCGCAAGATCCTCCAGCTGCTCCGTCTGCTCCAGATCAACAACGGTACCTTCGTCCGTCTTACCAAGGCTACCCAGGAGATGTTGACCATCATCAACCCCTACATTGCCTACGGTTACCCCAACCTCAAGTCCGTCCGTGAGCTCGTCTACAAGCGCGGTTACGGAAAGGTCGACAAGCAGCGTGTTCCCCTCACTGACAACCAGATCATTGAGGAGAACCTCGGCAAGTACGGCATTGTCTGCATGGAGGATCTGATCCACGAGATCTACACCGTTGGCCCCAACTTCAAGCAGGCCAACAACTTCCTGTGGCCCTTCAAGCTCTCCAACCCCACTGGTGGCTTCCACACCCGCAAGTTCAAGCACTTCATCGAGGGTGGTGACTACGGTAACCGTGAGGAGAACATCAACGGCCTCATCCGCCAGATGAACTAGATTCATCATCATCGGTGATGGGCTTGTCCGTACCGGGTTGTTATGAGCTCCGAAATTTCCTAGTTAGCGGGTACTGGTCTAAAATCTGGGTTACAAAAATTTAAAAGCTTCGTACAACCTGACTTGATTTCTTTGTAATTGAGATGTAGTTCATTGTAAAGGACCTTCAAGACGTTGTACAACCGCAGCTGCCTTTGTGGGAGAGCTGGAAAGCTAACACCTGCCTCCCCCGACCGCTTTCCTGGCCGCCGAAAGCGGCAGAATCCTTTCGACCTCGCAGACAAAAGTGCGGATATAGGCGGCTATCAGCGGATATATCTTTTGTACAGCCCCGAACAAGTGAGCCGGGATTCTGTATACTTTTTGACCGCCTTTGAGTCGGGTGGCAGAAAATGGTCGCCTGTCAGTGAGGGACAAGATTGTATGATGTTGACCAGTTGGAATTGGGTATTTGATTGGATTACTTGTTATCTTGGGTTCATGTAATCGCTTGTGGTTCTTTTGGTAGTTGGTTGTTGTTTTGTTATATGGATTTATAGTATGAAGGAGCATTGTGGTGGTATATATTGCTTCCACTGATGGTACTCCTAGTAGTACGGAGAAAAGTAATATGGCGTTCTAGTGGAAACTATACAATAGTATAGTAACCTTTCTTTATTTACACATTATGTAAGTATTGGCTTGGTTCAAGTCTGTTTCTAATTTGGTGAAGAGATAACGCTTAATACTAGTACCAGTGTGTATAGTAGTAGATGATCTATCTGTGTCAATATATATACAACTAAAACCCTGCGATTTAGACTTCAAGGACGCGAAAATAAACATACAGCATTTAGATGTTGATAACCTCCTGCACTCTTCTATTCTTATCCACAACCAATCGAAGCTGTCTCCCCTCCCAGCCTGTTGGTGGAGCAGATGCTGTAGTAGCATGAGGGACAGGCTTGAATGTACCCGCCCGGAGAGTTTCAGTGAAGAGTTCGTAAGAGGGATAATCTGTATCTAGAGTTAGAATTTGTCCATCTGAATAAATACTGGGTAGCCTGAAGTAATACTTACAGCCATCAACAAATTTCGTGACTTGTTCCTCCGTCATACCGGTCCCTTTTGCAGCGCGAAGGGTCCTCTCTTGCTCCTGTCGCCAGTCATAGACGAAGTGAAGGTCTTGCGCATCGCTGCATTATCAATTAGCATCTCGAGATGAACTGCTTAGAAGCTGGCACGAGCCACTCACATATGAATCAGCGCATCCAACTGACTGCAGTCATCACCATCATTAGCTGCCATCCCTCAACAGAGACAGACAAAACTTACTCAGTAATCACATCATACCCCCTCAACGCCTCATTAACCGTCTTGACATCCTCAAACTCCACATGCCCCAATCTCCCCTTATACTCACCCTGACCAGCCGCAGCAGCTTCCTTCAACCTAACCGCATCCTCCCACTTCCTCTTCAGCACCTCCTCATCCCACGCGCGAAACCCCACACACCACCCCTCGAAAATCACCACCTTCACCTTCTCCTCACCATCCTTATTCACTACCTCCCACTGTGACGGAGGCACGCGATCGCCCTGTCCGGAAAATGCCGACTTATCGTACGCCGGGACCGCAGTGCGCTGGCCCGCCCGTAACGCCGAGAACACTTCCTTCGCTAGCGTCAGGTCATGGGTGCCGGGTTGTCCGCGATGCTGGAGGAGCGGGTTTGAGGGGTGCGAGGCGGCGAGGTGTTCTTGTTGCGAGTGTGTGAGGTATAGGTCGTCGAGGGAGAGGGTTACCACGTTGAGGGAGTAGGGTGGGGAGCGGAGGGTGGATTGGAGGGTTGAGACCTTTTTGCCCCCATTTGATTTGATTGTTAGTGAACTGATTTGTTTTCTTTACTCCCTTAAAGGGTAATTGAGCGTGATCATTATTAGGAGGAAAGGGGTCATACCAGGACTGTTTTACCGGCCCCTTGCACGCCATTTAGACCGAGGAAGAAAGGCGGGGTGTTGGTGGGATGGCGGGCTTGGTGGGCCTGGAGTCGTTCCAGAAGGTAGGGGATGCAGTGTTGGGATTTGTCGTCGATTATTTCGGGCATTGTGGGGGATTGTAGTATCTTCTTTGGTGCTTTTATGGGAGAATGAGAAAGTACATAGTAGGCCGCTGGCGTAAGTTGCCGGAGATTATGGCCAGTTGCACAACTATTACTAATAATTACTGACTAAAATATATAGTAAACATTCTATTATGTTATACATAATAGTTATACTAATATTTATATTATATATATAAACTATATCTAAATATATAACCATTTAAAGCTTATTTCATAGCTATTTACTACTGTAGAAAGCTGATTAATTTTCTTTCTAAATCTATCTAGTAAGAGTTACTTTATTTATTATTTATTATATTAAATATATTCTTTATAGTTTATTTACTGTTACTTTATTTTTTTTTTATTAGAAATCTTATATTTTTCTCTCTTCTTATAATTCTCTTTTTTATAATTCTTTTCTTTATAACTCTTTTTTTTTATATTTTTTTTTATTTATAACTTCTCTCTTTTAAATACTACTTTTATTTTTATAATTTCTATATAAAATTCTAGATATTTCTGCAGAAGACTAATTTAGTATAATAAAAAATAAATTTAAAAATATTATTAATTAAAATATAGATAAGCTGAAAGACTTTTATAAATAATATAAAAATAAAGTATTAATTCAGAAGAAATAAATATAAATATAAAATAGAAACTAAAGATACTTCTAATAGAAGAGAATTCAGCTCAAAAAATTACTAAAAAAAATAAAAAAAACTTAATTAAATTTTTTAAACTTAATAGCGAGAAAGAATAGAGAGAATAATTATAATCTAATTTTATTAAATTATACTAGCTAGAACTATAAAAATATTTTAATTAAACTAATAATAATATATAAAAGTATAGAACTAGTTTAACTTATATATAAAAACTTATAATTTAAAATAAAATATAAAAATTAATTAAATATAACCAAAGATATATTAATAAAATTATATAAAATATAAATAATTATATTATATATTTTATATATTCTATAAG